TTATTTTCAACTTTAATTTATATATTTTATCTTATTCTTTCCCAGTTAAATTTACCCTTCATTCTAATTTGTGTTGTACAGTTATCTCATTCTTAACTTAATTTTCTATATTTTATTTTATTCCTTCCTGGTTAAATTTACCCTTTTTTATTTTCATATTTATTTATTTCCTATCTTATTCATAGCCTTTTCTTTTTTCTTTAGGTCACGAGCAGTTGTCCAAGCATTTCACTACATATCATACTGTGTATGACTGTGTATGTGACAAATAAAAATTTGAATTTGAATTTGAATTTGAATTTGAATTATAACATACCATAACAGACCCATTTCTGTAACGCATTTTTCTGGGAACACGAGGATGGCCATTTTCAAACTAAAGACGGATGCTGAGTGAGGAGGGCAATAACATAAATAACTCACTGTTGACTCTTTTGGTTGTTATGGGTTTTCAACCTGCTGCTTGGCCCTGCCAGCCATAGCGCTGATTTCTTGCTCTTACTATTCATCTTCCTCCTCCTCCCTGTTTTGTCATTTTCAAACTTCAGTCGGCATATTTTTTTTTCTTCTGCATAATGTGTGTTTCATATCTAAGAGATATGTGTTGGCTGGGTTCTTTGCTTTGTAGCTTCTGAGGTTATAATACGCTCTCTTTTACAGTTTACGCTGCATGGCCTCAATTAGAGAGCACCCTAAGGTTCAGTGCGTTTCCTGCCAAATAAAAGTAAGTTCTTGGCAGTAAATGTTTGAAAGCACCCAAATGTTAAATGTGTCTGACTCGACTTCTGGCCATCACATGGCAACATCAGTCTTTCTGTTCCCTGAATTCAGTTTATAACACTGCAGTGGCTTCTCATGCAAAGGACTGACACCTATATTTTGGGGGAAATCCAAAGTTTGTAGAAACTGAGGGCATGTGTAATGTCAGCAGCACTTCCTGAAACTCTGATTTGAGTGTCTGCAGAGGAATAGATAAACAGACTCAAAAACAGGCTAGGACTAAAATTCACAGACCTGCAGTGGACAGTAGGAGGAAGATGACCGTCAGGACATTGAAGGACTGCCGGCTGGAGATAGTCATCTTCTTGTCCTCATGTGGGAAGAAGGGAGGGAGCAGGAGGGTGGGGAGAGAGGGGGGGGAAGGGCCGCTTTAGCTGGACGTGGGCATCCTCTGCTCGCTGACAGCTTCTCTCACATGGCTGCTTCTTAGAGTCAGGGCTCCTAATGGGAACAAGACAAGCAGGGGGGGAGAGAGAAAAGATTAAGATATTTGATTTGGATTTCTGGAAGTTCCATCCAACTGTGTGGACAGCTTGTCTGGCAGTGAGCGTCCATGATGCCTTTCCCGAAATCTGTCTTAAGGCTTACATAACAGGACCGCATGGGCATTCGGTTTAATTGAAACTGGCACTCTGACAACACTGGGGCTAAAAGTTGTTCCATGCTTGCTTTTTCTTGTCTAAGTCATGGTAAATTATAGCAATAATCATGAATATGTATACTTCCCTGAGCTGAAATTGTTGTCATTTTTTTTAGTTGATTCTAATAAAACTGACTTTTTTTTGAGAGATTAAAAGAACATCTTAAACTAGATGTCTTAGATATGCAACTCTATAAACTATGCGTTGCAGTAAGGAAAAACTGCACATATCATGCATTAAAAGTACAGTGCTCCAAGAAGAGCAAATATTTAATGAATTGCACAGAATCTGCTCTTTCAGCACAGTGTAAAGTTTTGTGATTGCAGAGCTGCTGTGGAGCACTTTGCTTGCAAGCGATGCATTGTAGGGGTTCATGAATTCCTCTTGCACATTATCACCATTCGAAGCTTCGCTGTAGTCATCCCTCTACTGATGATAAGTAAGATTAATGGGGTGGCAGTACATTTCGCTTAGGCACACTTGTTTCTGTTTTTTTTTTTTTAATTTATTGCTTTAATAGCCTCATTATGTGCACAGAAATAGTATCTCTCTGTGCATTCGTTTAAGTTGATGTTGCTGATAATTTATATACGAGCCATTTGCAAATTTCGCGTAAAAACACCCATTATTTGCTCCTTGAACCCATAAGATCCCATGTATACTTCATTCAAACATGTACCAGGATCACAGATTGCTTTAGCTGCGTGTATGTGCCGAGAAACTTAAGAATCTTCTTCTGCACAAGTTAGTTGGTAAATATTACAAGCTCGGCTCCTAAATTATTGAGGACCTGACAGAGGCTGACAGAGAAGGAGAAACTAAGGAAAGAGAGCAACAACAAGGGTGTAGAAGGCCCATCAGTGTTCCTGTCATAAAAAGAATTCAGTTTATTGGTGGATCAAAGCCAGTCTAATGTTGCATCACCAACCTCCGACTTTTTTCTCGAGCTGTTTTGGTAACACTCCGAAGTATGGCGCAGATACAGCTCCATTTGGAGGGCGACTGGAAAGTTTAGTTTCTTTCACATGAGCACACAGTCAGAAGAGAAATGGTGCTAGTGGTGGGGCACTGCCTACGAGCCAAAAATGATTTATCAGAAATATGCAGACAGCGTTCACTAGGTCAGAATTAAAAAGTGCTAGAGGTCAGAAACAAGCTATGTTTCTGTTTTTTGGTCAAGAGTTTACACGAGTAGCCACATCTGCCGATGAGTGGGTTCACAGTGAGGTAATGTTTGTGCAGACTAATGCTCAACATTCGTTCCAGATTTCCATTCTGGTCTTTGAAAGTTGAATAGCATCAATTAATTAAATGTTATTATGTTATTATGTTGTAATTTTTCAAGTAAACAGAATATTTTTCAGCTTTGGTAGTCAAATAAAGATGTCAACATGTGCTGTGGAATATTTTGCACAAATCTTTCAGCTCCCTTATTTTTAAACCAAAAACTCACTGAGAAAATTATGTAGAGATATGTCAATTTTGAAAATGTGCTGTAAGTTGATTGCTTACAATGGCACGGCCTGTTTTGCAGCTGGTACACAATGGATCACAGAGTGAGGATGAAACGGGCTGGCTGTGGAGTAAATAGCATTTGGCAATTTTTGCACCTTTAACACCTTTTTGCACACTCGGGCAATTGATGCAGAAAGCAGCAAAGCTGTCAGGTCAGTTTGTCAGTTTTACGGAGCTGTAAAAGCGGAAAATGCAGGCCTCAGATATTAGAGGTCTTTCACAGGTCCAGAGCTTAAGATTTTATCTGAAGCCATTCATGAAAAAACGAAACCTCAAAGTAACCTGAGGGCAGAGAGATTCGTCAGATTAAAATACCTAGCCTTTATCCAAATTGCTGTTGACCTTAACAGACTTAAAAAGGGGAGGCAACGCCAGTACTGGCAGCAGGATGATAGCCTACACCAGTTAACAAGCATCCAACGTTAATAAGAGAGGAAAAGATGTTTTCCCCAGCAGGTCACACGAGTTCTGCTAATGGCACAAAAAGAGAATTTTTTTCCTCAAGTGATAAAAATCTCACGTGATTAGAGGTGAGAAAATACCTGCTGTCTTGAATTGCATACATGGACACACACTCAAGAGGAGCAGCAATACGATTAGACTCAAATGTAGACTCTGTCCTTAAGAAGACATGCGCTCCTATTCCAGGCTGGACAAACCATAACCTTAATAAGATATACAATTATCTTTATCTAGCTGAGACACAACCTATTGCTTTTTATAAATAAGGCATGTAAGCATGTGAGTGTGAGGTCATGCGCTATTGAGAAACATATCAGGCTCCCAAACTGAGCTACAGAGGCTAAACAAATATTTTAGAAGAAATTAAAGCTGTGCAAACACTGTGGAGAATCCCACTCTCTGTCACAGGTACCGCCCCGTCTCCTATGTGTTAAATGGTTTCAATCCCAGATCAAGGAATAAATGTTGTGCATAACCATTCCAATATACGATGAAGTTACTGTGGACCACATGGACAGACTGTGAGCTGCAAGTGAAGCACAGCAAGCTTTTTCTGTCAAAGTCTTTTAAAGCATTTTTTGATCTGAAAAGCTGTTCCTTCTTCAGAAAGCCAGGCAACGGAGGTCCCGGGAGACTTGTTAGAGTGGCATTTCATATATTTTTTTCCAGTCTTTTTATTTCTGGTGAAAGCTTTAGTGTACTGTCAGATGACAGCATGTAAAGTATAACGAGGGATTCCCATCCTTTCTAAACCCACTCCCCACAACCAACTCACTGCTGTGGTCTTTTATATACATTATTTACTTGTTTTCCTGTATTGTCACATGGAGTCACCCTGCTCCCTACGCAGGCTATAAAAGGGCAAGGTTCACAGCGTCACGGCGCACGGCTTGTTTGCGAAGAAGACGTAAATGTTCAAGGGTTTGTGTAATGAGTCTGACGGTAGTGAAGCAGAGTATGTACTGTAAATACACAGGAGTGCATGTATACAGGCACACACAGCACAGCACACAGTGCATAGCTCCCTGGGACTTAAAATAGAACATACTGTTCAGCCGAACAGACACACGACACAGATGGAGGGTCTAGATACTTGCTGTGTCTCAAATCAAACTAAAATATACATAAAGGCCATGGAAACACCCACTCTCTGAGTAAATGTAAAAGCTGTTCTGAGGGGAAACACTGTATTTCTACGAAAAAGCATGTAGATTTCATTTATCTGCCTGCATGTTCCTCATTACTCGCTGAGAACAGAAGCAAATATTAAGTGACCAATTGCTGCAGTAACCACTGCGAAGCTAGCAGCACACTTTTCATCACAACACAGCAGGAGACCCAAATCTGTCAGAAGTTTGATGAGGAAAAGCGCAGTGGAAGATTTTTGGGCTATTTGAAGATTACACACAGCGATAAGCGGGGCCTGTCTCATGAACATCCTTGTCCGAGTCTTATTTTTGTTCAAACATTAACTTTAAAGTATGCAACACGTTATTATGCTTTCTAAAAGTCATAATTTATTTATTTTGGCCTGCAGTGTCCCTTATCTGAGAAGCTTTCAAGTTTGTAAAGGCAAAATCTCGACATTACAATTCTCTCTCTCTCTCTCTCGCTGTCTTCCTCTCTACAGCTTAACTTTATTTTTAGACGAAACATTTAGGCCTGTCTTTTTGAGTATTCACATAACCTTTTTCTTCCATGGGTGATAGTAGTTGGATATTTATTCGCCCTCTGTGTCTCATTATTAGAGTAAATGCACTCTCTCTTGCTTTGCTTGCCCTTAATCCATGTTAATGTGCGTTATCAATCACCCTAAAACACATGAGCATCCGCAGTGAAGTACAGTTTAGAGATGAGACTCCCACTTCACACAAGGGGAAGAGTGAGCAATAGCTAAGTGACTGTGGGTCTGCAGATGGGCTTGCGTCCAAATACATTCTGTTGCAGCCCTCTACCTAATTGATGCTCCCTTTGACTATCATCATAATAAATTGGATTTCGTTCACGTTTGATGGCATTAGAGCTTCAGTCAGAAGCCCGACAGTGCTCCATTAGGACATGAGCCCATGTCAGGAGATTTAGTGCTGTGATCTAATGATTGTCATTGGCACAGAGGACTGAACTGTGTGCAGCATCAGTGAGTAAGGAGTGGCAGCCTATGTCATTAAAAGCAGTGACTGGTGAACATGTACAACATGTGACACAGCTGATGATAAAAAAAACCTGTCCTTAGAGGATACCAGTAGTCTGGGATATTTATTTATTTACTTAAGGGCAGTTTTAAAGTGTTTTTTTTTTTAAAAAAATATGAAGCATAAAGTACTTTTAATTCACAATGCATAAAAAAGATAAACATCAACCACCTTTGCTCGTAAAATCAGTCTGAAGGAAAGAAATTGCATCCTCTTTCAGTTTTAAGGTTTTATGTATAAGGACATAAGATTAGATAAATATAACCTCAGATGAAGTACAGGGCATGTCATGAAACGTAAACGTCAATCGTGTGATGTCATTTGCATGCGACACAACAATGGAGGATGTCAAGGAGTTGCTTTTTGTCATGCTCGGGAACCATGGTGCTGATCTTTGTGCAGCCAGTTTCAAAAATAGCAGTTTTGATTTTTGTGAAGAAGACGTTCTCACAACTCGTCGAGTGACACCATTGACTGTCCAATCGGTGGTTTGCAGTCTGCTGACGTCACAATTTTGGATTGGGTCAGCTCACTTGGAACCCCGGCCATGCAGACACTAATAAAGTACCTGATATAAGGTACTGCCACCTAATAAAAACCCCTAAAAACTGAGTAAAGTTAAGCAGAGTTA